ATACATACATACATACATACATACATACATACATACATACATACATACATACATACATACATACATACATACATACATACATACATACATACATACATACATACATACATACATACATACATACATACATACATACATACATACATACATACATACATACATACATACATACATACATACATACATACATACATACATACATACATACACATCACAATTTTTTCCTTGTAGGGGCCGTGGCCACCGCGAGCCTCCCCATGTCTCCACCCCTGCATCTATGCATGGACAAGATATCTGTTGGTCTTATGGGAGATCAGCACCACCCTTTGATTCAGGGCTTAACCGCCCAACCTGTTGGCACCACGATGTGGTGCAGCCCCTCATGTCCATCCGCCGCTCAGTAGTGGGGCTCTGCACTGCCGTAGTGAACTGTGGGGGTGCCCCACAGGAATCTACCTTGACTTGGGGACTACAGAGTAATGGGTTAAATAAAGGGTGTCCACTTCCTTATCACCAATTGGTTTTAAGAAAGATATGGCTGCTATTTAACCACAGAACTCTGGAGTTAAGCGAGCCCGGGGTAAGAAAGCCCAAGGATGGGTGACCCACTGGGAAGTTTGTCGACAGGGGTGAATCGATCCAACAAGTGGTATCAGAGCGAGGTCACAGGTGAATCTCTCGGCTGGTGCTGAGGGGGTGATTGTTGGTCTTATGGGAGATCAGCACCACCCTTTGATTCAGGGCTTAACCGCCCAACCTGTTGGCACCACGATGTGGTGCAGCCCCTCATGTCCATCCGCCGATCAGTAGTGGGGCTCTGCACTGCCGTAGTGAACTGTGGGGGGTGCCCCACAGGAATCTACCTTGACTTGGGGACTACAGAGTAATGGGTTAAATAGAGGGTGTCCACTTCCTTATCACCAATTGGTTTTAAGAAAGATATGGCTGCTATTTAACCACAGAACTCTGGAGTTAAGCGAGCCCGGGGTAAGAAAGCCCAAGGATGGGTGACCCACTGGGAAGTTTGTCGACAGGGGTGAATCGATCCAACACACTCCAAATGGCGACGGCCGAACAGAGTCTCCTAAATAAGGGCTTATTTGACCTTTTTTTGTTAGTACATGGGCCTATTTGCACCTTTTCCCCATTCCTTTTTCCCAAACATAGTGGGACGAAGGTAGTATGACATATCATAGTCATACTTTACCAAAATTAAAAGATGGGCATTGGTCAAACATGAGCCTTTTTGTGGAACAGAGGTTGTGCTAATTCGACTATATACCTCTGTTTCAAGCTGATCAAGTATCTGCAGGACTCGTGGATGATAACTGTGTCTGCCTCGACCTCAAAAAAAACATAAAAGGAGAAAGAGGATTTCAAAACACAACTCCTTTTTGCTTGAGACATGGAACAACAAACAGCAATTTAGTGGAGAGTATTACCATGGTTATAAGCCGCTGAAGGGTCAACCTTCGTTGTTGAGCTTCAACCGCAGCCATTGAAACCGAAGCTTCTTTGCCCAGTGTAACCATACTTGACTTTAGTTCATGAAGCTTTATTTCAGCAGATTCCAACTTGGACATATATTATGGATTACTATTAGATTCCCTTACTCCAGCTTGCCGTCTGGAAACTTCAATAGCCTGGCCAGGCTCAAAGAACGCAGGTATAACTATAGAGCTTCACAATGCTGCAAGTGGATTGCTTATTACATCAATTAAATGAAAAATCTCACATGAAAGTAGGTTTGCATAGCACTCTTGTTATTATGTGTAAATAATACAGTCCCAATTAAATGAACCAGGGAAAAACATGATAGAGAAGAACGCAACAAGTTAACACATGGTTGATACTTTTAATCAAAATATTACCTGCGATTCAGCTTCCTGTCTCACTCTATCATAAAGCTGAGCAAGATGTCGAGCCTCCTCCAATGGAACTCCCACAATCATTGCCCTTAAAGGTTCAGCAACCTAAAGTGATTATAAAAGAATCAAAAGAACGTCCAGCTCACCAATTTCATGGCCATATGCAGTTAAGGTTAAGAAGCTAAGCTAGTGTGAGGTGTAGCAAGACGTCAATGCCAAGCGTCAATAATAGGCAAAATCTAGGCTTGAAAATGTGTTTTAGATTTTTATGGATGATTATTGTTTTATAGTAATATATAAAGAAAAATAATCAATATGCAAACAATTTTATACAAGATTCAGCCCAATTTTTATTTTAATCAACAAATATTGCATCTGTCTCATTTTACATGTCCTACTTTCCTTTCAAGTTGTCTCAAAAGAAGTGTTATCTTTCCTTTTTTGGATATAATTAAATATGTGGTCTATAGTATTTCACTTTATCATACTCAACTCTTAACAACGACTTTTATTCTTTCAACCACATTATTAATAATTGTGCCCAACCAAAGTAGGACACATAAAATGGAACGAAAGTAGTATATAGTTTTAAATGAATAATATGTACACATACAAAATAGTACTACTTATATTGTTGCTCTATTGTTTCTTTTTATTACTCCGTATTAGATTACATATATAACATACTTATACACATAGTTCTTTTTTATTTAATCATTTTTTTGCAAAAAAAAAAAATAAAAAAATTATCTAAAAACTTCCGCTTTTCACGCTTAGGCTTCGCCTTTTGCGCCTAGGAGTACGCCTTTTCACGCTTCCGGTGGTCAACTCTAGTTGACCGCCTTTTCCATGCCTTTCTAGTTTCTACTATGCAGGGTGTTTTCCCGCCACCTCACACCTAGGTGCGCCTAGGCCCGTCTTTTGGCACCTTTTAGAACACTGTTATTGTAAGAAATGGTTTACAAACCACAGCCCAACCATTTGGTATCGTAAGAAATGAAGAATAGAATACTCAAATAGCAACTTTTATGAAAGATTTGAAGAAAAATATCAGATTAATAACTGATAGATTTTTCAAACCTGTGTTCCGAATGCCTTTAGTAGAATATCATGTTTCTTTTCCATTTGAGCCCGAGCCATGCTATAACTTAGTGCAGCATTGGATAGTGTCCCACTACTGGTACAAATGTTTTCGGTTGCGTATTTTCTGGCATCTTCAGACAAACTTGGTACCTATTAAGGATTTTGGAATATTAGCAACAGCTATGATGCACAGCAGCAAATGAGAGGAGAAACAATTTGCACTAAATTAAAGTAAAACATAGTTTAAAAAGAGAACATAATAAAACCTTTCCAGTACGAGTAGAAATGTAAAGTTTCTCGATATTTTGAAGCTACTGAACCTCTGCTTCATTAGGTATACCATTGTCTGAGCCTCCCAGCCCACCAGAAAACCTTTTCAAGACTTCCTAGAATAATAATGAACCAATATCTAATATTTTTTGTGCCTTGATCAAATAAAGGGGTAGAGTAAAGTAATGAGTAGGATAAGCAATTGATTACATAGTCATAGTGGATTTTCAAAATCAGCACACAATCTTTCCAATTGTGCAAAAACGATGTATCGTTCTACCAGTCCTACTTTTGAAAATGTATACTACAAACTATAAAGACTTAGGTTTTCAGTACAAAACATCTACCGGACCGAATGAGTATTCCAAGGCCTTATATAAGTGGGTTTGTATCTTTGAATTAAATGGGTGTGATGGCTTAATGCAAACCGTACTGAAACATAAAATTCATTTAGTTAGTCTAAACCAATGGCCTGGGATTAACAGAAACTTGTATTTTCTTTCAGCTGATAATGTGGAACTCTTAAGACAAGCCCAAACATGTGCCCAAGGCGGTGTTTTTCATAAGTCATCCCGCTACTGGGTGAATTTTTTAGCCTCTGATTCATTGTTTCTCAATTTAAATGAGTCACATAATTCCAGCTTCGTTAATCATCACACCACACTTTCGACGGAGGTAGTACATTGATTGCTCAAAACCAAAGTCCCTTCTATCTTTGATCATGTCTTCATAACATCACTAAACTATTGCTCAGCGATGATAATATTAATTAAATCCCTTAATCAATAACGTTGGGAGAAAACAGAAGAGTAGCAACCAGAACATAATATTCTTAACGAAAATACATCCAAATACAACGACATTATAAGTCGTGATCTTTACCCCTTAATTTTCACACTCATTTTCACAATAAGTTTTTAAATTAACAAATACTTGTTCAAGGATGAACATTCAAGGGGGGTGTTGGAAAAAACAGACCTGATTAGGTCACACACAATACCGGACTCGGTTCCGGACCGGGTCCATCCCTACTTGGGCGTGTATAGTTGTACAAAGCACGTTTGTAAACTAAAAGCCGAAAGTAGCAATCAGAATGCCTTTATCTAATTCTAGACTATTTTGTAAATAAGGAAAATTTTATCTCTAACCTTTATATTCATATCCGAACTTACCCTTGTTGTAAAAATAATTGTTTATATCAAAATTTTCTCTTGTCCTATATTCTCCAATACAACAACGTACACGGCACATATATGACATGAAAAGATGGGCACAAAAAATATATCAATGACATTTCCCTCTTTTTATTTCCATTATTTTGTCTATGTTTAATAACTATTATCCTCCGTTCTTTAATAGTTGCAACAGTTTGACTTTCACGTTTGTCAATGCACAACTTTGACTGTAGTTATTTTTAATTACGTATTAGTAAGCATTATAAAAAATTAATATTTTGGAAATTCATATTAATAAAAATTTAATAACAATTTATACATAATAATTTGATTATATATTAGTAAAAAATCGTGGTCAAAGTAAGGTGTGTGAATAGTGTAAAAAACTCAATGTTGCAACTATTAAAGAATGGAAGAAGTATTTCTCAACAATGTAAATCGCAATAGGGTTAGCGGCTGCTAACCCTTAGCATCGGATCGTCCGCCTTCGTCTTTACGAGGTGCGCGTTTATTGGTTAGAGGGGCGGTGGTTGCAGGGGTGACGAGGGGCGAGTTCGGAGTGGGTGTTAGGGCGGTGGTCTTGACTTTTTAAGCAGGGATCTTGGGCAGGCAAGGTTAAGATCGAAAGGTGCCGGCTGGTTTCGCTGGAAGAGCAATTTTCCGGCGAAGAGTTCCTGTTAATGGAGAGTGTTGTGGACCGTTACAAGCAGATGGCAATCAAGGATGGCGAGACAGAGATAAACCTCGATGACAATGAGCTTGAAGACGTTCCGGCAGAGGATGTGGCGGCGGGTTTCCCCGTGATCGGACAGGTGCTGACAGATCGCAAAGTCCGGTTCTCGGAGCTGAAAGAGCAGATGCTTGCTCTATGGAGGCCAGGAAAAGGTATGTCAGTCAAAGAAATCAGGGAAAAGGGGTATCTTTTTTCCTTTAACCATCGTTTTGAAATGAAGCGTGTTCTGGAAGGAGGCTCTTGGCCGTATGAACGTAGTTTGGTTTTGCTTAAAGAAATTATGCCTGATGATATACCACACAAAATTGTTTTGAATGAGGCTGAATTTTGGGTCCAAATTCATAATGTTCCATATAGTTTGGTAAATCTGGGCACTGCTAGACGTGTTGGGAGTTTTTTAGGAGAATTTGTTAAATATGATGATTATCAGAAAAAAGTAAAAGTAGAGCCTTACATGCGTGTTAGGGTCCTTATGAAGATAGATAAATCACTGAAGAAGGGGACAAATCTGAAAAAAGACAGTAAAAGTTTTTGGGTGGATTTTAAATATGAAAGGCTGCCCACCTTTTGCTTTAAATGTGGTTTGGTTGGTCATTCAGATAATTTTTGTCCCCTAAATTATGAAGGACTGGTTTTGGAAAGAAAAAAAATTGGATCTCATCTTAGAGCAGGTAGCGGGGTGAAGACTAGCCCGACAGGAGGGAAAGCCTGGCTTCTGGAGGGTTCATCGAGCTCTGGCAAATCGGGGGGGGCGGACCGAGGGCATCCAGATCTGAAGGAAAGATGACAGACAAGGAGAAAGGGTCAAGGACGGAATCTGCTCAAAGCTTCACACAAGGTGCGGAAGAGCCAAAGGAAGAGGTTTCCAAAAGAAGGAAAATCTGGGAGACTCAGACAGAGAACGAGAATGAGGAGGACGTCATGATCACAGATGGGACAAAAAACGGGGTGGAGGTGGGCTTGGTTCTTTAAGCCCGCCAAATACACTGGTTGAAGGTGTGAGTCCGAAAACTGGAAGAATGGTTCTAATTGTTTGGCGGCGAAAAGGGTGTTATTCTTTCTGCTTTATTTACTGTTTCATCAACTTTAGTTTTTGTTTTGGTTTTTGTTTCTGTTTTCCTGTTTTGGTCTGTAAGACGTTGATTTTGGATGTGGGGGATGAGAGGAATTTGATAACCGTGTTAGGCTTTGTGTTTCCCGGTTATGGATCAGCGAATTATATTGCCACGGTGATTAATTCCAAGTCTGGTTCGAGGGATAACGGTTATCAGCTTCTTTTTTGTCAGGTGACCCATACTCCGAATTATTATTGGTTATTAATCTAAGCCGAATTCAGTAAAAAAAAACAATGTAAATCGCAATGTCTACATCTAAACATTGTATTTGACATCATATAGAAAAACTTACTAAAATCAAAGTGTTTCAAATTATATGTAGAATTAATTTTTATTTCATTAGGTTTACTAAAAAAAAAATTGCACTAATTAAGAGTAAAAAAGTTTTGGTTTTCCAAAATAAAAGCACCACATTTTTACTTCACGAATGAGACATACGGTAAATTATGACAGTATACTACAGAGTACAGAGTATTATTTTTGAAGTCCGGTAATGTAAATATGTTGCAGTAAATTATCAGGAATATGTCATTCCTACTTAGAGAAAAGAAAAAAATATAATACTTCCATTTTGAATTTTGAATTTTTTAAATCCTATTCGGTGGAATTTTCCTAAAAACGATTTAATAATACTCCGTAGTTGATTTTAATTGGGCAACAAAAAGGTAAGTTTTAGAAAACATTGGATTATAAAAAAAACGTGAATGAGAATACACTGTTAATAAATCAAGAAAACAGCTTATTTTAAATATGAAATAACTACTCCCGAACACAAATTCCTTTTCCTTATTTAAAAAGTTTATAATGCAAAGAAATAACTTAAATTTTTTTATATTATATAGTTCCCCAAACATGCCCTAACGACAGCCTTTGGTAGTTTAGGACAAAAGATGAAGTTGAGCACGGATCAAATACAAACCTGGCCAAACAGAAACTGCACAAATTTTTAGAGGTAAGAATTGACAGTGGTCATCACTTAAAGGCAAATTATTATACAAAATACTATAGCATGAATGGACAGAGCTTGACTAATAAGTTAGCTAGTTGTGGCAGTGGGAGAAGAAGAGCTTTTAGAGTGCAAACCAAACCACATACATTTATCCTTCACAGCCTCACCTTCTCTTGCATACTCTTTGAACTTGTACTCTTCCTGCTTGCAGCTCTGTGGCATTTTCCCTTCACTGTAACATTGGCCACACAAATTAACATGCGACTTCATCTCCTTGAACCGGGACCCAATAATGGGGTACCGACAAGCAGCACAACAATGGCTGCCATGACGGTTCCTATCCCCGACCTCGAGCTTCAACAATGTACTCATAATCCCAAATCCCCAATCCAAATCATCAAACATCAGAAGGAATTCTTGGAAAGAAACTGGTGAAATGTCCACTTCACCCCCATGAATCTCAAGAATTTCACTTGTTCCTTGCGAAGGAATGTAAGCGGCTCTCAACAGCTTTATGTACCTCACAGCATCAACTTTCCTGACCCCTGTGTTACCAACCCTCTCGTTCACGGGTCTCCACATAAGCGCGTCGTATGCGACCCGTTTCCGTCTCTCAGGGGCCCCATTGCATAGAGGGGCAATAAGGGCAAAAAACATTCCCAAATCCACCCTCCCGGATCCCGACTCATCCAAAACCGAGAGAATCTTCCGGTTCACGGCCCTCACGGCTTCTACGAACGTCTCAGGCTTCAAGAAGCTGAGCAACTTGCGCAGGATTTCCTCAAGAGAAGCCTTTCGGATTGATTTCACGGGTGAACTGGTTCCTGAATAGGAAACAGGAACATCGTTTTCATCCATCTCCCTCTTTAGGATGTCAACGTCACAACGCTTCAATCGGGTGATCCGTTGAAAGGCCCGAATTTCAAGGGCGGTGGCTAGCTCAGGCCGTGACGTGGTTCTCTCCCCTACTGTCTTGAACTTTGAAGGTGGTTGGACGGTTATAAATGAACCCTCGTCTGTGGCAGTGCTCCCTCCCACCTTAACCCGCCTTTTCTGAAGCTGTTTCAAGTGGGTTAAAGCATCATGCAATTCGACTCGGTTTGTCATTTTCAAAGCTTCCTTCAAAGCTTTCTTCGCTTCCTCATTTTCGCCGGCACCTAACAAAGCCACAGCCTTGTTAAGTTGGGCTTTCCAATGGTTGGGCCAAACAGTCAACACTCTCGTGTACATCTCTGAAGCTCTCTGGTACCTACCCATATCCATATAAAGCCCACCCAAATTGTAAAGGGCGTCAATATGCCCCGGTCTCAAATCAATGGCTCTCTGAAACTCCTTGATTGCATCATCACCATTGCCCATGGCATGCAAAGCCGAAGCAAGATCACAATGTGCATCCGGATAGTCGTTTTTCATATAAATAGCCTCTTCGAGGGCCTTAACGGCAGCCTTATACTCACCCACACCAAAAAGGGCACTACCTAGGAGTTTTAGTGCCCTAAAATGTGTAGGACATAAAATTGCAGCCTCTCTATAATGCTCACAGGCACTTAAAACCATACCTTCACCTTCAAGTGCGATCCCAAGGTTGACATGGATTTGAGGGAGTAAGTAAGCCCACTGGTTGCCGCCAGCCTCAGCAGCATCTAATGCAAGAAGAAACTCTTCCTTCGCCTCGCTGTGGGCTCCGAGAACGTAAGAGCAATTGCCGGATCTGAAATGAGGTCTGACATCAGCAGGTTGTAGCTCACAGGCCCTCTTAAAGCTCACCAATGCTTCCTTGAACAATTGGTGGTCATATAGAACTCTGCCTAAGGCCATATGGCCATCGAAAGCTTCTTCCCTTGACCGTGCCCCATCCGCCCTAGACCTCAATACATTTAACTCCTTCACAAAGGCGGGGTAGTCGTGGCCTGACTCGTCCCAGGCTACCCGTTTCTCCGAGATCTCCGAGGAAGCCCCCAATTCACGCGACCAACCGGGGTCAGAGTACACATCAGAGTTCTCTTTCTTTAGCTTCCCATCTTTAGATTGTTTGGCTTTGAGACGCTTTATGAGGATTTCTAGGTCGTCTACAAGCTTCCAAGTGTCGTCGAAAACTATGCCGTGGTTGGGAGAGGCGGCCCACGCGGCGGTCCTCTGTTTCTTATGAGGTTCCATGACTCTATCATCGGCCATGGAAGAGGAAGCCTCTTCGGAAGCAATTGAGATGCCGTTATCGTTTTCCGGCTTGAGCTCGAGTCCCAGGGCATCGAAGTCACGGTCGACGTCGCCGGCGCCGTCGTCGTATGTACGCAACAAGCCGTCAAATGTGAGACCGCTCTCGCCGTCGATGAACTCGCCGTAGGTCCTGAAGACCTCGTCGAGGATGGCGTTGATTTGCTCGTCGCTGAACTTGACGCGGGGGTTGACGGCGACCACCAGAGCGGCCATTTCCTCCCGGTTCAGACCGCTGTCCCTGTTGGCGTCGAATTGCTGGAATATTCTCTTCACCTTCTCAGATCTGCTCCCCCTGATCGACATTTTCCCCGTGGACTGAATTAGGGTTTTGAAGAACAGCGATTCAAAACCCCTGATTGGCAGATCCTATAGCTCTAAAATCGGGAATCAATACTTAACTGATCAGAAATGAAGGTCGAGTTCGAAGCAAAGCTTGAATCTTTGGGGTGAGGGATCCGCAATGGGAGTAGAAACTTGGACGGTATGGAGGCCCAAAAGGGCGGTGATATCTCGAATTAAGAACATGAAGCCGGAAATGGGTTCAAAGAAAAATTTCGGGTCAGAAATATGAATGCTTTAATTTCATTTTAATATGAAGAAACATTGAATCCATGGAAATATTAAAGAGAGAAAAAAAGAAAGAAAAGAAATGAGATGGTGGGTAAACAGAGAGAGTGATTCTGTTGTGTTTTTCTCTGTTTCTTTTCGGTGGCTATGATATGGGTCGTCGGTGGGGGCAACAATGATTGGAACTGCAGCTTGGCGCTTAGCTGTCACATAGAGCATATAAGTTTCACTGTGGCCCACCTCTTATAGTTTATTCAATGGATTCCTCTGGTTGTACCCACTATTTTCATCAAGATGACGGATGACATATGAGAAAAGTTGTGCAATTGCTACGCTTATTATTGTTTGTGTAAAAGTTTAGTACTCCCTCCGTCCCTGAAAAACCTTAATTTTGAAAAAACATCAGAAATCTAGTACTCCCCTCCGTCCCTGAAAGAACTTTCAACTTTCCTTTTTCATTCATATCAAAAGAACTTCGACTTTCCTTTTTTGGTAATGAATTAGTGATTTACAACATTTCTTACACATTTCTTTATCTTTTGCACAACTCTCCACAACACAATACCTACTTTCTTAATATGTGTGTCATTTGTACTATGAAAGAACTATTAGGGACGGAGGGAGTAGTATTTTAAGTTTTAGTCTTTAGGATGCTAGCTTTAACTGTCATGCAATTAATTTTAGTGATTAATAATTGTATTGTAACAATACAAAAACACGGGATCACGAGGAGGGCGTTTTCATTTCTACTTTTAAAGTATTGTTGATCTCCTATGCATTTACTGCATTCGTTTAATTGATCAATTCATGTTTCTGTTTTTTGTAAAATACGGGAAAAATACGTTTTATACGGGAAGTAGGAGTTTTTTTTCCTTTTTAAACGGACCGACATTATTTTTCGTTTTAAACGTGTTTTTTTACTCAAAAAAACGGTACGTGTTTAAAACGCGTTTAAAACGGAAAAAAAGCTAACTAGGGTACCCACCATGTCTTCATAGACATATTTTTGTCTATGACCGGGATTCACAGACAAAAAAAAACTCTTCACAGACATGATGGGTACAAAAATAGGTACAATAGTGGGTACAAACAGATTTTTCCTTATTCAATTGGTTCAATAGATTATCTACTCGGTATTTGCTTTGGGAAATGGAAACTATTCCCTCACTCTCGGCATTTGTTAAGTTTGATAGAGTATTTATAAAGTAAAAATAAGTAAAAGTTGAGTGATTGGATAGTGACAAAGTTAGTGGAACAACTAATAAAGAAAAGTTGACAAAGTTTTAATAGTCAGAGAAAGTAATAATCATCTTTTAGTGGTTCTTCACTATTGATGATTTGTTATTTAAGATTATTTTCTTCTATTTGAAAAACATTAAACTGTAAATCTTACATTTCACAAATTTTTTCAAAATAGTTTCACGTATCACATTTCACAAATCTTTTCAAAATAGTCTCACGTATTGTTTATTCCATGTTTATGTATTTCTCTTTTATTTCCTTTTCTTCTATCCGTTTATTATTTCATTTTCATTTTTATATTTTTTTCAGACCAATTCTCTTCTTACAAAAGATATTTTCACTCTACTATTTTTTTACTTCCACTTATTTATTTATTTTTTTCTTTTTTTACTTTGATTCCATCACTAGTACGAGAAAGGATGGCAATGGGGGCGGGGACCCGTGGGGAACCGCCTCGCGGGGGAAGGTTGGGGCGGGGTGGGGACGGGGATGGGTGAGATATTTTTACGCCGTTAAAATATGGGGCGGGGGATGGGTATTGTTAGAATGTAAACTTGATTTTGGGCTAAGTTAATAATTGATGTTTGTTGTAATGGACAAAGCCCAAAATAATTAGGAGTGTTCTAGAGAGAAATGTTCTAGAAAGTTTCTAGAGTGTGAGACTTCTAGAGACATTCTAGAGAATAATTAATAATAGAGTATTCTAGATAAGGAGAATTCTAGATAACTCTCCACCATTTATTGAGGAGGTAAGTAGTATAAATATGTGTAGTTGTGCTCATTTGTAATCAAGCATCAAGCTAAGAAATCTTCAAGCAATAAAATACAAGTTCTCTCTTCTTCCATCATCTTCTAATTAGCTAAAAGCTTTTCCTACTTACACAATTATCTTCTTAACGTCCTAAAATACTTAGCCTTTACCTTTAATATTCCAACAAATTGGTATCAGAGCCATGGCTAACGGGATTGATACGCTTGTAATTTCCGTGTGTTTATTTACGTTTTTAGTTAGTTTTGATTTTTTAATATTTCGGAAATTACACACTTTTGGTGTAATAGTTTAGTTTGTTAAATTCTTGTAAATTGTTTAGATTAGGTTTATTCTGAGCTTAAACAGGTCCAAGATCAATCAAATGATCATTGGTGAAGGAAGGTGCAAGAGTACCAGACAAAAAGAAGGAAAGTTTCTGATTTTGACCTGTACTCGGTCGAGTATGTCTTATACTCGATCGAGTACCAATACTGATTTTCAAGGATCCGATCCGGGAACAAAGGAACATGCAAGGAAAGATTTGGCCACGTTCTATTGTCATACTCGATCGAGTACACCGACATACTCGATCGGGTATACATATAACTTTCAATCTAACTTCGGTCGAGTATGGCTCAAAATTCACCATTCTACACATACTCGATCGAGTATCTGTATATACTCGATCGAGTACCCGACCTGCACCCCAAAAAGTCCTATAAATACACCTCCTTTCCTTCACTTTTAGACACCAATTCCTTTATACTCTTAAGCTCAGTTTATAATAGCATTTCTCTATATTTCTTTTAGCATGTTTAGTCTCCAAATGAGGAGCTAAACTTCCATTTCTTGGTATTGCTCTTGAAGCTTGTTGATTATTAAAGTTGTGAGTTATTTTCTTAACTTCTTTCCTTGAATATTAATTCTTCCTTTAAATACTATTTCTATATCAATGTTGGGGAGTGTTACTAAGATGACAATTAGTTAACGTCTTGACATTGGTCTTAGTAATAGCTATTCCTTCCTCTATGTTAATATTGGGGAGTGTTACTAAGATGACAATTAGTTAACATCTTGATATTAACTATAGTAGGATTCATTTTCTTTAATATTCTTCCTTGAATATTAGTTAATTCCTATTCATATTTCATATCAATATTTTGAACATTACTTAAAGGATCAACTAGTTTTGTTTCATATATTAATTATTACTAGAAACGATCAACGAACCGATGGTTAATCGTTGATAGTTTCACAAGTAAGTAACTTCGGTTTATTAATGCACGGTCGTGGTTAATAAACTTAAGAGGGATTAATTTTGTTGGTTAAACCGAAACCATTGTGTTGAGGTTATCAATCTCAATTGATTTCATCAAGGAGTTAAAAGATTAAACGCTACTATCAAGTCGGTATATGGCGTTGTTCTATACTTGACTAATAGTAAGGGTTATTAATGAACGGTCGTTGTTAATAACTATCCTCGATGAATTGGATATACTCCTCGATTGAGTATTCGAGAGGAGATAAGTTATAGATATAACAATGATCGACTAAAATATATCAACAAGTGTAAAGTAGCAATGCCAAGTCCCTTTTATCTTTGAATTTAAAACTCATATAACTCGTTCATCTTCGTGTTTAATTTTAATCAAATCACTCAATCAAAAATCCCCCCTTTATTTACTAATCGCATAAAAAGAGAGTTATTCCTTTCCCTGTGGATACGAACTCTACTACACTATACTACGTATAAGTGTTAGTATTGAAATTTACTTTGAGTGCACACACGACAAAATGCACGTCAGGGATGCAATCCTTTCAATTCCCTCGCCTAACCAAAGACAACTATAGTACTTGGTGCATCCGAATGAAGGCAATACTAGGTTCACAAAAGGTGTGGGATTTGGTGTTGAATGGCTACGTTGAACCGGAGGATGAAAGTACTCTTAGTGCACTCCAAAAGGATGCATTAGAGAAGGCTCGGGAGAAGGATCAAAAGGCAATGACTCTCATTCATCAATGCTTGGATGACAATCAACTTGTGAAGGTTGCAAATGCAACTACTTCAAAGCAAGTTTGGGAGATTCTTCAAAATACATATCGTGGAGTCGATAAGGTAAAACGCGTTCGTCTCCAAACACTTAGAGGTGAGTTTGAGTCTCTTCAAATGAAGGAATCCGAGTCTATTTCTAATTATTTTGATAGAGTTGAGAAGGTAGTAGATGAACTAAGGAGGAATGGAGAAAATTTGGACGATACTAGAGTGGTAGAAAAAATTCTTCGCTCTTTGACTCCAAATTTTGAGCATGTGGTAGTGGCTATTGAGGAATCACATGATATAGACTCGATGACTATAGACCAACTTAACGGATCACTAGTGGCCCATGAAGAAAAAATGAAAAAGATGAAAGTGCAATATCTGTTGGAGCAAACACTTTATACACAACTTTCATTCAAAAGAGGTGATGGTCAAAGAGGGCGAGCTAGGGGCCGTGGACGAGGTCGAGGCCGAGGAAGAGGACATGGTGAAAATCACCAAGAACACGAAGAAGAGAAAAAACAACACTTCAAGCCGACAAGAGGTCGTGGAAGAGGCGGTTACCAAAGGTATGAGAAATCACAAGTTAAATGTTATAATTGTGACAAAATTGGTCATTACGCTTCCAATTGCAAATCTAATTATTGTGAAGTGGAGGAAAAGTTTAACCCCATCAAGGATGAAGTTGATCTTACCTTATTGATGGCACATGATCTTAAAGAAAAAGAAAGAAAGAGTATGTGGGTGTTAGATACCGGGGCTAGCAACCACATGACCGGCGACAAAACCATGTTCGCGAAAATTAAGCAAGCCAATGGAAAAGTCGCATTTGGAGACGAGTCAAAGGTGTCAGTGGAAGGAAGAGGTAACATCTTAATCCGTCTAAAAGATGGTAGTCACCAATTTATTTATGATGTTTATTATGTGCCCAATTTGAAAAATAATATTTTAAGTTTGGGGCAACTTCTTGAAAAAGGTTATGATATCAATCTAAAAGATAATAATCTTTTTCTAAGATGTGAAGGAAGATTAATAACTAAAGTTCCAATGACAAAAAATAGAATGTTTTTATTGGAGATCCAAAACGATGATGCAAAATGCTTACATTCATGTTTAAAAGATGATTCGTGGTTATGGCA